TATTTAAAAAATAAATAGAAGGGGGTTGTGGTGGAAGGGAGGATTTGTAGATATCGAGATTAAAAAAGTATTAGATATCGAAAAAGAAAGATTTGTGAATTCGAAAATGAACATACACATACATATACACATACACATTTATATAAAGAAACAGAGATGGTGCGATATGATTTGAACGAAGTGTCGTGTTTCTTACTGCTCACTTAAAAATCATTGAATGCATCTACCACATCCGGTCCCATTGAGGTACCTATTCACAATTTCTTTCGTTTCAATGGCGTAGGAGGAGTTTCATGGTGATGAGAGAGAGTGTTGCTTGCTGAGTCTATTATAAACGTTATAGTTGGTAGAGTACACCCTTTGCACTGTTCCTACCTACCCCTACACCTATCCCTACCCCTAACCCTGCTGTTGCTATTGCTGATATACCTAAAAGGCTTTGCAGAAATTGAACCAGAAGAAGAAGAAAAACGTGATTGGTGTGTACTGGCTTTTAACCATCAACTGGGACAACTTCATAATGACAAATTGATCTATCTTGATATTTCTTGATATTTCTTTTCGTTGACAGGACATTATTCAAAAATTGGACTCATGTTTTGGCTGCTAAACGAGTCTCCCAAGGAAAATATTCTCCTTTTATTGTATTCATCCTACAAGATTAACGTCAATCATCATCTTTTCTAACCATTTTATCAATAGAGGGCAAAACGTTTATTCGCATACTACTACTACTACACCATATATATATTATTCGATTTGAAAATATCTCAAACGCGATGAAATTTCGTTTAAAAGAACTTTTTAGGTTCTTTTTCTTTTTCAGATTAACATTCTTTTCTTTTTGTTTGTTTTTTTTTTGTTTACAGGTCGAATACTTTACGATATACCGTGCAAGGTTTGCAGGGATCACTCGTCTGGCAAACATTATGGTATATTTGCTTGCGATGGGTGTGCTGGTTTTTTTAAAAGATCTATAAGAAGGAATCGGCAATACGTTTGTAAAGCAAAATCCGAGGGTGGTTGTACGGTTGATAAAACGCATCGTAATCAATGCCGAGCTTGCAGGTTGGCCAAATGCATCGAAGCTGGCATGAACAAAGATGGTAAGGGTCAAATTTTATGTACAATGCGAAAGTAATTTAAACATCACGCGTCCCATAAATAAAATTAATAATATTAATTGTATCGTTTAATTTAAATGTTATTTTATATTTTGTTCTATTTTTATTTTTAAATTGTTATTTTAGCCGTACAACACGAACGTGGCCCACGTAATTCGACTTTGCGACGTCAAATGGCATTTTTTTACAAAGAACCAGAAATGATGGGCACCGTGGTACCGCAACCAAGTGCAGCATTGGATCTTGCATTACCAAAACCACCAGCGGAACCACGAGTTTCCGTCGCAACACCCACGACTCATCATCAACTTCCGCATCCAGCTTATTGCAACATGCTTGGTTTACCAAAAGTACATATTAGATTTTATTTATAATAATAAATTATATTAATATTATAATTATAATAATATTCTCGAAAATAATTCAAATAAATTTAATCTAAATCGATACAAATCACAAAACAAATAATAATGATAATTAATATTGAAACGTGTTTCGTTTTGTTTGTTTGTTTGTTTAGGTTCCGATAACGATGGGTGATTTACCAATTTACCCATTGATATCAACGATCACGGTTGAATCAATTTGCGAACAAGCAGCCAGATTATTATTCTTAAATATCAAATGGACCAGAGATTTAATAGCAGGTACAGAATTGGAAATTGAAGATCAATTGATATTATTGAAATCATCATGGAGAGAATTGTTTCTATTAGCGGCAGCACAATTATTACCATCGTTAGATCCGACACTTTTGATACCACGCGGTGGTGGTGGTCCCCAAGAACAAAATTTAGCAGTCGAGGTGTCGAATTTTCGGAATACCATTGCTGGTTTTACCGAAATTAATTTAGATCAACACGAATACGCGTGCATCAGGGCAATAGTTTTGTTCAAAACTGGCCTTGACAATTATCCCATACCAAGTAGCAGAAACAGTTGTTCGGGTTCACCATCATCCAACAATGGTAATTTATCTAACGGTGCTGCTACTATCTTAAGATTACACGAAAGTGCACAATTAGCTTTAGGACAAAGATTGAACGGTGCTTTGGGTGTTTTAAGGCTTAGGAAAGTTTTATTACTCTTGCCATCGTTAAAATCGGTTTCCGCGCACGCAATTACAGAACTTTTTTTCAAAAGAACCATCGGACACATTCCCATGGAAAAAATTATCTGCGACATGTACAGATCCGATTCCGAATAATTTCTATACGCGATTAATTTTAATTGATTTATTGTTTCTTTCTTACAACCCCCACCCCCAGC